AAAAATATTTGTGATACGAAGTGAAACATGGTTAACAATTTCTGAACCTTTGAAACGACATGGGCATAATCTTTGTTGAAGATTCCTGAGTTGAACTCATGCAGGAAGTGTATTGGAAATGATGACCATCAGTCGAGGCACAACTGTTATGTTATCACATGTTACGTTACGGCGATCAAGAACGTTCACGGCTTGCGGACCATTTCAAATATTACCACTCATAAACCCTACAATTGTATGTGTACTTACGGGAGGTTATATTTTTGCCGGGGTTCCACTGAGATCGGCGCCGGCTAACTGGGGAACGATCTGGTCGGCATGACAAAGCGCCGGGCGTCATTGCCAGAGACCTACATTTTCTTACCGTGGGTGACTTGACTTCTTCTTTTACCGGAACTTGGTGTCAATATCGACGATAGTCACAGGAAATATGTTCATTTATTGAAGTTTAACTTTATTTCCACTCGTCCGACGAATATTCTTATCTAAACATGCTATAGACGATCGATGTTCAAAACGATGCCGGTGTTCCGTTATATTCCTGGGTCGTCCACTTTGTCGGCGGAAAACTCTGAAATAAAGTTCGCACCGCGACTTTGGCGACGGCCCGAGACACTTCTGGGATTTTGAAAAATGTAAAAAGGGCGTACTATATTCGGGAATTTACGGCGTATTTCTTGTAATTCGGTACTACGCCACGCCAAATTTTACAAAAGTTTTCGTGGCCTCCCCCCAGGCCGATTTTTTTTGATGGCCCTCCCCCCGGCTCAAAATTTTTTTCCATGGCCCTCCCCCCAGGCCAAAAAATTTTTCAATGGCCCTCCCCCCCAGTGCACCAGCCCTCCCCCCCCCGGTAAATATCGTACAGTCCCTTATAAGGTTGTATTTGTGTATATAAGGTTAACATCCCATTTGTAGTTTCCAAGTGTTATGTCTGAAAAGATATTGTCTGCAACGGGAAAAATTGGACCAAAATGTTGACCAAACATCCACAGTTCTAGAGACTGTTATACAGATTTTCCAGAGGTGGACTTGGCTGTCTTTGTGGGAGGGTGGTCAAATAAAAGGCTACAGGCTATACCTAAGTACAAATAGAAGAGAGATTCTTTATTGACACAACAAAAAAGTACAGGGACTTTTGTATGGTCTTCTACAGCTTAAGATCTAACAAAGCTATTGGTAAATACATGATTGTGTGGATAACGTCCTGGTACGTACAGAATATATGTATTCGGTAACAGTAATAAAAGGTTTAACTATTCTCTAACACATGGTCTCAAAACATTCTTCAATGTATTTTCCTATTTGAACACTATTGGTTATCTCCCCTGAGAATGTAATTGAACTATCTATAGGATCTAACATATTGAAATCCATTGAACAAGTGGAAAGAAAAGTGAACACTCAGCAATAGGCGCTTATCATTGTAGGGTGTACAATGCATTATAAAATGGCGCTCATTTTCAATCATGTTTGGACAAAATGGACAGAACCTTTGGTCATGTGTTATTTTTTGTATTACCCCTTTTTATGTTTAATTCAGGCCACACCAATTTAGTTTCTTGGTTAACGGATTTTTCTAGAAAAATAATGGAGCGAGCGGGCGGAAAAAAAAATAAAATAAAAACAGGCCAAGGCATCCTAGTTATTGGCCCAAAATGGTACGATAGGAGCCATGAAGTCAACACACCAGGCTGGCTCAAAATTTAAACAATGAATTTTGAACTTTTAATGATACCACTGTATTGAAAGATGGAATAACTGTAACAACTAGGATGAAAAGGACTGTTTTCAACTGTTCAGGGCAAAATATGAGCATTTTGCAGTTGATTCTGAATTTTTATTTTTATTTGCAAATCAGAAAAAAATGAAGCGGGCGAATCCGTTAACCAAGAAATTAAATTGGTGTGGCCTTATGACAACTTATTCTTAGATTAATGCAGCATAAGAACATGTGTCTCATTAGATTTCTTAACTAATTTGAATGCAACTCGGAGAGAAATTTCCTTGATAGCGAGATTGAAAGATTTAAGCTTTAAGACAACATTGCTCTTCTTTAATTTCTCCTGGGGCTAACTTAAGCCCTGTGAGATGTGTTATGTTGAATGTAGATTGAAAACATGGATTTGGTGAAATGAGGCTGGGAGATGTTTTAAACATTAAGATCAGATACAGTGTTTTTTTTTTATTTGCTGCATTGACTGTTACCACCTAGTATGAAGTATGAAAGAAATAAAGTCAGCAGTATCTGAACTGGTTTGTTTTTTTTTTGTATGATCCACATTTCCTAAATTCCAATTGGTGCATGTAAAACTTGTCTGGTGCAGGTCATTTTCAATGTTACTCATACCAGCATCAGTGCAGGTACATGTATGCAGAAAAAAAGCATTTTGAACCCAGGAGTTGCAGAATAAAAAGGAATGATAAAAGCTTCTACATGTACACACCTAATTATCTGTGTTTTTAATGATAATCAAGTGTATCTCACAGGCATGATGATGGTGAATAAGGATTATGTTACAGTATAAATATGCTACTATCTGTTTTTGCCTTGTTGGTAACTACATGTAACGTTACATGTTACTCCCATTATTGCTTATTAAAATGAAATCTGGCCTGTGGTACATGTAATCTAATATTTCACAAAAACTGTGTGGGAAGGAGGAAAATTGGCAGACTTATTAATTATTCTTTCATATATTTGATTACAGGAATGGCCCCATCAGGTCAGATGAGGGTTATCCCATTTCTTGCCTCGTCAGGGGGGTTACCAGCAAATGAAACCACCTTTGCAACAGTTCTGAAACAAGCTGGCTATGACACAGCCCTTATTGGTAAGTAACATGACTGTATGCACATTACACATTTACAACTTCTCCTATTCAATAAATATTTTTAAGACAACGTCTTATGGACTTAATGTTTAGATTCATAGATGATGATGCAGCAGTACTATCTGTCTCTGGACAAAAACATCAATTATATACACATGCTCAAAACTGTCTATTTTTAGGAAAGTGGCATCTAGGAGTGAGCTGTTCCAACAGAAATGACTTCTGTCACCACCCGCTCAACCACGGCTTCGGCTACTTCTACGGCCTTCCTCTCGGTAACGTACGCGACTGCGGAATCAACACGGGCACCGTCATGAGAACCAAACCCACCGAACAAATCATCAGCGTCGTCATAGCCATCACGGTACTCCTCCTGTCTGTGGCCTTCCTGAAGTTATACGGTGTGGTGTACTACAACTGGAGGAGTTACTGTAACTTTGTTGGGCTCTGGGTGGGGCTGATTCTTCTGGGCTTCTTCTTCCTGAGAAGTTTTCGCACTCTGAACTGCGTGTTGATGAGAAACAAGGCTGTGGTAGAGCAGCCGTTCCACCTGGAAACCCTGACACCGCGCTTCACAGAAGAGGCAGTGGCCTTCCTGCACCAGAAAAAGGATTCGCCATTCCTGCTGTACGTCGCCTATTCTAAAGTTCACACGGCGCTGGCGACAACGGAAAGATTTCGCGGGAAAAGTCAGCACGGCGACTACGGTGACAACATAGAGGAGATGGATTGGAGTGTGGGGGAGATCATGAAAACACTGGATGATCTGGGATTGACAGAAAACACTTTGGTGTATTTGTCTTCTGACAACGGGGGGCATTTAGAGGAGGTATCAGCCCAGGGGGAGGCACACGGTGGATGGAACAGTATTTACAAAGGTACGTTTTCTTCTGTTCCCATTGTACTTCTTTACAAACACAATCAATGTAGAAAAATATCCATTATATTGTTATCAGAAAGTCAAAGATTGGAACAAAAACCTAATGAATTTGGCCATATTTATTCCCTAAAATTGTGTGCCAAGGTACAGACATTCCCCTTGTGTTTATGTTGATTTTTCCTTTGTTTGATCTGAGAATCAACTGATGAATATATACTCACTTTCCTTTAAAGCTGCATTATGTAACATCAGGACTATGTAACACTAGGAGCAAAAATGTTACATCTTCCTGTTTTTCAGCTCTAGAGCTTCTCTTGAAAACAGACTTGACTGAACACGATTCTATTTTTACCAACTTCAGTGCGTACTTGATTGAATGCCATAACCTCTTGCCTAGAACTGAAGTAGGATGTCGTCCAATCACAGAACCCTTTATTACTTCCCCTGACGCAGATGTTTAACTCATGCCATCAAAGTACGCATGCTAGATTGACCTTTACCTTTTGCTTGGATATGACTTGTTCTCTTATAGTGCTGTGTACCTAAACCCACATTTAAGTTCAGGTCCGGATTCAAGTCCAGAGGTTTAGGAGGGCCTGCAAGGGGGGGTCCCGACAACGCTCTACGCTGAATTCGGAAACCTCTTCATTACGCTTTACGATAAATTCCAAGTGACTACAACGCATTACGTAGAATTAAAGCGGCGATTACACTCTACCCAAAAATATTAGAGCGGTCCGTCTACGCTCTACGTAGAATTAAAACGGCCAATTACGCTCTACGGAAAAGGGCTTGCGGGCCCCCGTTTAGGTTCAGTTCTGGACTCATAAATACATACCTAAACCCGTGACATATACAAAATTGCATGTTGGCAACCTTGCAATGTTGTTTGGGCAAAACTTAAAATGGGCCACATAACATGGAGGCCGGTACTTGACGATGCCCGATGGTAATGTTTTCTTCATTTTGCAACAAAGATTTTGCAATCTACCGAAGGTTTTAGGTGGTTTGGAAAGAAAAGGGGTATGTGAAATTTTTTTTGGGGGGGGGGTAATAAGTCCGGACTTGGTTCTTGACTTTTAGGTTTTTTTGGACTTGAACCTAAACATTCTTACAAGTCCGGATCCAAGTCCAGTGAACCGGTACACAGCACTATTCTCTTATCTGTTTTCTATATCTACCTGTCCCTGGTGCTGAATGTCTAGTTGCCATTTTCCAATAGGAGTCTTTTTTGTGATACACAATCAATATCTAAAATTCATTTCATTTGATAATGTATATCATCTGGTTGGTAAAACATTAGATACTGTATTGGGGTTTTCTTTTTATATAACATAACGTAACATGAGCAGGAAGAGTCATTATCAGTTGTAAAAAAAACAATATCCTATGTTTTCCTTGTTTACTACTTTCATTACTACTTTTCATTATTGTAGATAGTATTGTATCGTATTGTATTTTATTGTTTTGTTTCATTTACCCGTTACCTAAGTTATTTCTTATTTATCCGATTTATTTGAATTGTTAATCACGTTATGAAGGGAGGCCTCCTCATAAGCATTTTTATGCTTCCGGCCTCCCTGCACTGTTACATTTCCTTTATATTTTCTATCTTGTATTTGTATTGTTACATTTTGTTTTAAAGTGCGAAATAATCTGAAACTGAATTTCACATTTTATGTTAAATGTGCTTTGGTTCAGCATGCATTTAGTTAAGATACCTATGTTCTGTGTTGGTTTATTATATAATACAAGCTATAGATAGTGCTAGGTTAGAATGAAGCAGAGTTTAGACAGAATGTATGCATTTTGGCAAAGTTTCAGGGAGTGAATTTATTCAGATTCAAGTAGTCCTCTGTTTTATATCTTTTGAACTTGAGTGTCAAAGAACCAAAGAGCTCAGTGTTGGCTGAAATAGATTTGTAAGCAGGCGTAGAGAGTGCTGCATGTTCAATTGTGATGCTTTGTACCGCGTAATTATGCAGAACTATCTGACTGGTACATGGATAGGAGAGGTCAGCAAGGTTATCAACAAGAACAGACACGTCCTACCAGCTGAGTGCCTCATGTGTTACTGTTACATCCGTCATCTGCCTCTTTTGAAAACCCATCTACCAATCATGGCAGCCGGGGGAAACAAAGCCCAGCAGGTTCTCTTGTGATCTCTGATTGGTAACCTGTTGGGGATATGATAGGGGCTACTTGTGACCTTGGCTACACCTTTTTGTTTTTTGGGTTGACAGGCAGGGCTTGAAATCCTTTTTTCTCCAGTGCAGGTAACATAGAAAATACTTTTTGTACTTTTAGATTATTTAGAAGAAAAAACCTGACATGAAACACTATTAATGACCTTGCATACATGTAATATCCTTGTCCATAATATCACCATAGTCCATAATATCGCCACCTTGAGAAATAGTGTGCTTAAAGATATTTTTACTGCAACATACCCTACGTATGTACATTTGATGTGTGAAGGAGTGCATACTAAAAGTATGTTGCTGCAGTAAAAATATCTTAAAGCACACCATTTCTCAAGGTGGCGATATTATGGACCTGGTGATATTATGGACACAGATGTTACATGTACCTGGTTTGGAGTGAAATATGTACATTAAATGTGCATTCAAAGGACATTATATTCCTGACAACAGGTATATAACACCTAAAATTTACATAACTAGGTTAAACTTTATAATCCCACATCTTGGTGCACCCATAGAAGGTAGATGCACATTTCTAATTTTGGCTGCATGACTTGTACATAATATTTTGAACCCAGAATTTAGAGCCCTGAGTAAAGTGCAGCTAAATATAGTCCCCATGGCCTGAAAATGGAACAAGAAATCCTTCAGCTTGAGGATGAAAAATTGGAGAACCCTTAGTAGTACAGGAGACATACTTGAATTCTCAGCACCAGGCCTTGAAACAGATAAGCTCATTCGGCAAATGCACTGCATATAACCGATAACAGGCTGACCTTGCCTTGCTGTAGTGAGTTTAATAAAGACAGATTAACCATGGCCCTGCTGTAGTCAGGAGATAAGGGGACACTGCACCTGTTCATTAACCCTTAGCCTGCTAATAATACATGATATTGTAAGGCCACACCAATTTAATTTCTTGGTTAACAGATTCGCCCGCTTCATTTTTTTATGATTTGCAAAAAAAAATAAAAATTCAGAATCAACTGCAAAATGCTCATATTTTGCCCTGAACAGTTGAAAACAGTCCTTTTCATCCTAGTTGTTACAGTTATTCCATCTGTCAATGCAATGGTATCATTAAAAGTTCAAAATTCATTGTTTAAATGTTGAATCAGCCTGGTGTATTGATTTTGAACCAGCCTGGTATGTTGACTTCATGGCTCCTATCGTACAATCTTGGGCCATAATAGGATGCCTAGGCCTGTTTTTTTTTTTTTCGCCCGCCCGCTCCATTATGTTTCTAGAAAAATTCGTTAACCAAGAAATTAAATTGGTGTGGCCTAAGGATGCTGTTTGGCACCAAATTTATATTACGGGCAGAAGGCTCCTTGATTTGAAATTTCTTATGATGCACCTTCTGTTGCCAACTAGACTTCTTTGAGAAGCTTATTAGATGACGTTAGGTCTTTGTTGTACTTTCAAAGGAAGATTTTGATGAGCAAATTTAGGATCTACATTATATTTTGACCGAGAAATCTGTGCCTCAATTCATATCTTGGTCTGTCTCACTTGCCATTTGATGTGTTGGAGCCATGCTTTTGTAATTTGTTGCATTATCATGATCACCTTTACCTAAATCAACATAAATCAGAGATTTCAGACTTTCAGGAAGTATGCCATCCTTAGCTTTCTGTATTCACCCATGTTGACCACTTTTGTTCTGGTCAGATGCTGAGCAATTTGACCTGTCATTTTCTCTGTCACTCTTCCCAACCCATGTGCTGTCAACCTACAGTGTGTAGATACACAAAGCAAAATTTGCAAGCAAGAAAGCAACGAATAAGGTCTCATTGGGAGTTGCTTTTTCATTATGACGCCTTTAAAGCTGTGTTCTAGCCAGTGTTTGTTCTTCTGTTATTTGACAGAATTTCCTGCAGATGATGGACAAAACTTTTGTCCAATCTGTCATCTTTGACGGACAAAAATTGGTATGTAAAGATATGGAAAGAGATGCCATTAAACTGAGCTTAGTCTACATGTACCAGCAAAATGCTGCCCTTAATATACAGGAAATAGTATTTCAGAGGGTCTAGATTCAAAGATTTTAATGGGAGAGCATGCACACACACACACACAGTACATGCACGCACACACACACACGCGCGCGCTCGCACGCGCGCGCACATACACACACACACACACACACACACAGTACACGCACACACTCTCAGATGTACAAGCACACATACACACACAAACACGGACACACATGCACACACACAGACGCATGCATGCATGCACACACGTGCGCACACACACGTGCGCACACACACACACACACACACACAAACACACACAATCCCACAGTCACTCAGTCCTGTAGCTGGAAGCTGTAGGGGCAGACTGACAGTCCACGACTGAAAGTTACAGTATGTCAAGTCAAATTGCGATGGTTGAAAAACATTTCAGGGCTGGCTAGAACTCTGTTTTGAAGATGATATTCAACAGACAGTGTTCGGACATACATGTATATTCTGCATATGATTCATACATTCTCTTTATTTACAAACAGGAGGAAAGGCACAAGGTGGGATGGAGGGAGGGATCCGAGTTCCTACTGTCCTGCAATGGCCTGGGTAAGGATCATGTAATTTGTATAATTTTAATTTCATGCTGTATAAAAAATTACATTTGCTTTAGTGAAACATGGTGGTTGGTTGCTATGGTAAACTCTGCGTTACTAGGGAGGTATTGGGTTACCAACATGGCCACACAGGTTCCAGGGAGGAGCTCAGGATTTTAAAACAAACAAAAGCAATTGGAAAGTAAATTCAGTAAATTATTTATCAAAATAAAATGTTACCAGAGTGACTTTCTTCACCTCAAAAGTTAGTCTTTCACTTCCTTTGTGCAACATTTTGTAAATTTGCTTCAAAATGCAAAAAGGGTTCATGAGATCCAAACAACTGATAAGAGGCTCCCAAACATGAAAACTAAGGCTTACTTTTTTTATTGCTTTAATATCACGGTAAAATTAAACTTTCTTTCTTTTTTGTTTCTTTTCTTTTTTTTACATCTTTGACTAAAATTTGCATTACAGCCAAAAAAGGGCAAAGAAGTACTTTTTAAACTTTGACTGCTCATAATTCATCAGTGCAGCAACAACCCAAATCAAACACCCGTTCAGTTTGGATGACGTCAGAGTTACCATGATTTGGTTTGAAAAAAGTTTGGGACATTTGGCCAAATTTGACCAAGGTGAAATACCTTACATGTTTATACTGATGCATCGCATATATTTTGTTACATGTAGTACATCAAACCTACTGTGTGATTTGATGTACAGTGAGCATTTCAGTAGGACTCTGGAATAAAAGAAAGATGGCACCAATTTGGCTTCTAATTGTTCTCAGACTAGACTTACAGAAAATCCCAGACTAGAATGTAAAAAATGAATGTAAAGTCACTGGGTTAATGTATACAGTTTCACCTGAGTGAGGTGAGGCAGGGTTCGAACCTGTGACCTCTTGATTCTGAGCCAACATGAACCCACGGTCGGAATATAGTCTGATGCAGATTTTTGTCCGGGAATCCTATTTTCATCTTGAAGTTTTGCTAAAACTTAAATAGAAGCAATGGAAACGTTAAACAGATTATATGTCAGATGTCAGGGCTTGAAATACTGGGTGCATGGGCACCTTAGTGCACCCATTTTTTTTTTCTGTGGGTGCACCAGTGCACCCAAATATTTTTGTCGGTATTATAATAATTGTACATATTAAATGTATTACAGGATATTCTTGGCATCTAAGTGTCAGAAAAATAATAAAATCTCTGTTGTAGTATTGTTCTAAGATTTTGAAGTTAGCTCCCATTTAAGATTCAAGCTCAGAAGAGGTTGCAGTAAGATCCGTTATTAGAATTTGTTTCATATGGTGCACCCAAAAAATTTTCTGTGCACCTATATTAGTAATTTTTTGGTTGGGTGCACCAGTGCACCTGTTCCCAAAAATGAATTTCGAGCCCTGGATGTAAATATTAGTGTTTTTTTGACAGAAAACTCCCAGCTGGTTCAGAGATCTCAGAACCCACCAGTCAGATGGACGTGTTCACCACGGTGGTGGAACTGGCCAATCAGAAGGTCCCGCAGGACAGGCAGATTGACGGGAAGAACCTTTGGCCTCTCCTAACCGGCGAGGAGACTGCCTCACCCCACGAGTTTCTGTTCCACTACTGTGGGACCTGGATACATGCGGCCAGGTACAGGCCAAGACAAGGTCAGAGCATTTCCACTGTTAACTCTTTAAGTAACAGACGACACAAATTATTTTCTTTATTTATTTATTTATTTCTCTTTATTTTTCGTTTTGTGTAACATGGTAATCAAGACCTTTAATTGTTCTAGAACAATAGATGACGTCATGTATATATATAGTAGGTCAACCAAGGTCAAAACGAACTATGTAACAGGTCAGGGCGATCTGAACGCCATGTAACTGACCTGAGGGCGCTATGCACGTACTGGAAAGGTATGCACTTGTGTCGTTAGCCTCTGTACACTTGAAGAAGCCACACAGGCAAAACCGGTCATGTGACAGGCTGAATAAAAGTTCTAAATGGGAACTATGCAGCTCCAGATGTCTTACTGAGGGACGACTGCATGTGCGAGATGTCGGTAGCTGGAGGAATGAATCCCCTCTACTATATAGACGACACAAGTTATGTTGTAAGTTTGCTACCTCCTTGTTGAGCTGCACAACTTTCTCAAAGTGGTTGCCGCCAAACAGTGCAAGTCTCCATGGCAAGAATCTTAGGTCAAGAGACCAGATAATGCAGTTTAAATGCAGAACTGCCAGATATCTCTGAGTACATTGCCCTGCCTAGTAGACATACTCAACAACAACAGGGTAGCATCATAAGCAGTTTAATAAGGTTTGAATGTTAAGTTCAAAATGTTTAGTTTATGTATATATTCCTTATTGTCAAGTAATCATAAATCATACTTCAGTCGTCAAAGGCTGCCACTGTGTGATCCTTAATGATAATGAGGATGTAAATATTAAACTATTCATTCATCCACTTATGTAGGCCAATTTATGCACCATTCACTGACAAAATGAGAAAATATTATAAAGTCCTGACACAATGTATTACTTAAATAGAGTTAGATTAGTATAAGTAGTGTCTCTTTATTGTTATACATTTTTTATGAAAGTAGACCAGATTCTTAGTACAGATAGTAGAACTGTTAGATATTTTTAGCATCACCAACTATGTATGTATGTTAGCATCACCAACTATGTATGTATATTTTGCCATACGTTGTTCCCGCTACATCTGTTCCGCAATAAAGTTCTTCTTCTTCTTCTTCTTCAACTCACATGATGTAACTTTAGGATAATACATTGAGTTTCTGGCCTTTTCTTCCCTGACAAATGGCAATGACAAGAAGTGCATAGGGAGAAGGACTACACTATGGATAGTTCCACCTTTTCAGTCTTGTCCTACAATTCAGTATACATGGGCATTATTTTTATTCCCATTACAAAAGGACTTTAAAATAGAGACTATAACTAGATCTTTTGTGTAGTTTTCAACACAGATTCATCAGAAATCCAACTGCACCTGTCCCTGGTGCTGATTTTGCTGATGTTATTGTGTAGTCATTTCCAGTGCACGTTTGGTCATGAAAAAATCTAGATATCTGGGAATAGATATTGAAAAGCATCTTTGTTTCATCCTGTTATACTTAAAGGGTAGCTGCAACAAAACTCAGAATAAGTTGCCACAAATTACTCATTGAAACGGGAAGGCACGACCGCATTCCTCTCCAGAACAGACTCTGTCAACACTGTAACTTGAATAGAATAGAAGATGAACAACACTTTATTTTAGACAGTACTTTATATTCTAATGAAAGATCTGTCCTTTTTAATCATATCAAAGAAAAGTTCCCATACTTTGAACACCTAAATGCAAACGATAAATTTATATTTTTGATGCGTCTAGACAAACCCTGTATCACAAACATGATCTGTTCCCACATTTTCCATTGTACAAAAAAGCGAGAAGAAGTTGACCACTCTGTATTAGCTCAGTAACTAGAACACTTTGTATTAGCCTAGTATCGTATCCTTGTATGTTCCTTATGTATGTATGTATGTCCAAGTCAAGCAGTGTATCTTTTGTCTCCACTTTTCTACATATGTTCGTTATGTGTCTGTTAAGTCTTGACCTGTACCTCGCCCGTCGTGGCATGAATGTGACAATAAAGGTATTTCATTAAAAGTATGTTTCTGTTTGATGCAGGTAACAGCACTTGGAAGGTTCACTTTACCACACCTGACTGGACTCCGGGGACCATGGGCTGCTTTGACACCTTAGTCTGTTACTGTTACCAGGGTTACGTAACTCACCACGACCCTCCGCTACTGTACGACATCGCTCACGATCCCACAGAGGACAACCTCGTCAACATTTCCTCCGACAAAAAATACCAACAGATCATCAGCAGTGTCGAAAACGCAGTGGAGGCACACAGAAGATCTGTCAGCCCTGCACCCAACCAGTTTGCGCCTTCCAAGCTGATCTTCACTCCGTGGTTGCAGCATTGCTGTAACTTTCCGTACTGTTCATGTGAAGATGACATGAAAGGAGTTCACCTGTGAGGCCTCATGCGCTAATGTACAACTGTACAACAGTCTGTAAACAAAAAACATAGGACATTGGCATAAGTTTTGTGGTTTGGTCCTATGAGTAAAATGGTGTTAGAAATTCTGGCAAGTACAATCATGCACATCATGTTTGGAAATAGCCAAATTAAAAAGATTTTTAAAAAGAGAAAAAAATTCTAAAATGCTAAAAATGCATCAAATCAACCTAGTAGACAAAATATCATAAAGATATCAAAGTATTGTCATTCAACCAAAAAAGTCACAAACACAATTGGGAACTTCATCTTCTTGGCATGTTAAGACCACGTCTAGCAGAAAAATAGACATTAAAAGTTAAAAACACAGACAAGAACAACTAAAATGTAAAAGGGCAATCACAGTCAAGGCCACACCAATCTAATTTCTTGGTTAATGGATTTTTCTAGAAAAATAATGAAGCGAAAAAAATAAATAAAATCCTATTATGGCCCAAAATGGTACGATAGGAGCCATGAAGTCAACACACCAGGCTGGTTCAAAATTTAAACAATCAATTTTGAACTTTTAATGATACAACTACTTGAAAGATGGAATAACTGTAACAACTAGGCAGAAAAGGACTGTTTTCAACTGTTCAGGGCAAAATATGAGCATTTTGCAGTTGATTCCTACTCTTTTTTTTTATTGCAAATCAGAAAAAAATGAATCGGGCTAATCAGTTAACCAAGAAATTAAATTGGTGTGGCCTAAGGCAACATTGCAAAGGAAATTACTGCCAAGAACTTTGGTTGTTTGTAACATAGCTGAAGATTTCTACATTTTTTGACCCATGATTACTAGGCTAAGCCTAGAAATTGCCAGTTGCAGTTTGATATTTATGTGCTATATATTTAAAGCATGGAATTCCAAAACTGCACAGAAGAAATGACATACAGGTAAGAGAGACAATAGGTTGTATCTTGCCATTTACTGAGACACAGTAAGCTCACACAAAAATGATTTTGGTCATATACCATTGTCCAAGACTAGTGTAGGTAGAGGTAGTGAGAATTTTGTCAATCTTTATGTGCAATAGAAATGTAATGGTAACAGATCTTGTGTTGTAATGTAAGAATAAATGTTTCAGTATGCTACATTTATTGATCAAGAGTTATAAGGAAGATGTGAATACTTCTAATGAAATAATCATGATACATTATATGTTTTATTTGTTTGCTGAATTTGGAAAATGAGTGTTCAAAGTCAATTTTGAAATAAGGGCAGAAAACCTACGAAAACTGCGTAGTACAGAATTTTTTTTCCTTTTCCTGGTATACCTGTACGAAAACTTTGTATGACAAATATTTCCCTTTGACATATATCAAGAAAATACACATCCCAGGCCAGCCATTATCTCAGTCAAAGCAGGCCGATTTACAAATTACATGCATGAAAATTTAACAGATGCAGTTTTTGCACAGTTTTCGTACTGTCAGGTTTTTGCCCGCATGTAAATTGGGTCTAAAGAAATCATGTTAAATTCAGTATTACATTTAGCCTGGGTTCCAGACCCATAGCACACTGGACACAGAATATCTCAGTGAGCCTGGGTCTGGTAGGATCAGATAGACCTGCCAGTGGAACGCTCAGTATCTGAGCGTAAGGCCCCATTGGTGGAACAGCAGTAAGTAATTTTACACCTCTGCTATGATTGGTTAAAAACTTCCAGCTGTATCTTTGAATCTTCAGATGAGATAAAACTGTAAATAAGGTGTATTTTGTCCTGGTGTAAAAGAGGACTGTTGCCTATACAGGAAAGCCTAATGGTTGTACACTACTTCTACTGTTAAATTAAGTTCTGTTGTTATTTTGGAAAATAAACTCTAGAAAATTGACTGGTTAATGATTAACTGCTGAGCCCAAGATTGTCTCCTGCTGACCAATGGTGGTGCCATGTAACAGGCTACCTGTGGTGTGAGGGGTCATCAATCACAGCTTCTCCCCCCCTATGGCTGAGAGCCTTTCCCAAGTCTCACGGCCAGACCCAGGCTCACTGAGATATTTTGTGTCCAGTGTGCTATGGGTTTGGAACCCAGGCTATATTACATTAAGCCATGGATAAGTTAGGATCCATCCATTTGTTGTCTTGCTTTGTGGCATTTGGAAAGAGGTGAAGATGAATACAGAGGGCTAAGAGGAAAACTTGCTGGCAAGGTGGTCCTGTGGACAGGGCCGTTAACTCAGAATTTGCCCTGGCAGGCCCTGCTGTACAGAAAGTGCAAAATGGAACAAAATGAAATGAAAGAAAGCAAAATATGTAGAATTGCGTTAATACAATGAAATATAATGTAGATGGTGAAATACAAGGCAAGGAACTTTGAAGTTTTCAATGCAGAAGAAAGTGATAGATAAATAAGCTGACATGATCTTATTTCTTGTATAAACAAAGAGCTTCAAAAAACTTGGTACGAAATATGCTTCATGCACTCTTGGTGAAAGCTGAAAATGGTCCACTTCTTTATTCTAGACTTTGCTTCCATATCTGTTTCCTTGTCGTGATTATGTCACAGTTTATTTAGCATAGGACATTGTTCAACCATGGAGGTAAAAGATCATGGTTCAATGTTGTTAAACAGTGGTGGATCTTTACATGCAGCGTCCCCATTTTCCCTCAAAAAAAGTTGTACCTAGTTGTATTGAATAGGTTTCAGAAAGTCAACACGTCAGATTATTTATTTATCACTCACGCGTGTATTTAAAACTTCATGTTACATGTTTTCTTTCATTTCATTTCACACTTTCTGGGTCCCGCAGGCCCTTTACACCTATTTGACTATTTCCCTTACATAAAGCAGGTGAAAATGAGTACCAAGCTTTGGTTAGGGTGTTCGAGGAAAGACACATGAAATAGTACATGAAAGATCCCACTGCACTACCCGGTGTGAGTGGTTCAAGCCTACCATACAGAAATGGTTTTGTGACATTAACATGGTTTACGGGTTATGAGAAACAAACACCAAACAAACTTGCATGTAACTGCATTCACTCCCTATGAAACTAGCTACTAGGATGCAGAATTTCCTCTCCAAATCTTTTTTCATCTCAACCTTCCAAGAACCAACAAGTCAAATTGATGTGTGACCTCACAACTGCTTTTGACAACAGTTACTTTAACTGTGATGTTATCAAATCCTGAATGGCTTCCAATGCAACTTCAGGAGGACAAAACAAAAAGTACTAGTATTCTGCAGTTGGAAAATCTGTGTGATGTTGACATATACTTCCTTTATTAGCACATTTTTTTCATCATTTTATACTTGAAATGTTTCAACTAGCTCAGAAACAAGCCAAGGGAGACGTCCCTTTATATTTTGGTAACAGTAGTTACCATCTATGAAATAACCGTATACGATACAAGCAACCATTTTTTTGTCAGAAACATCACATTTTTGCTTCATAGATATCAGTATGCTATGGGATAGGGTTGATTAAAGTTACTATGCTAACAAAATGAGCAGGAAATTAGCTTTGAAAATCCAGTTTGCCACCATGGAATTGCTTTAGATACTTTGTAAGGATATTGGATACCTGTTAAATAGTGGAATTAGCTAGTAAAGTCAATAGTGCACAGTCATGTACATTTACATGTGTAGATGTAGCTGTTACTGTTAAATGGGACCAAGAGTGATGAAGAATATTGTCTGTATTTTACACAGAAGTGCTTGTACAGTACTATGTATTCAAGATTCTATTGTAATAATTATGACTATGATTAAACTTTGTGGAAATGTGGATAAAATAAAAATTATACATGTAGCCACTGTTTGTTGTAATTTGTGTTTGCTGTAATTGTCTAGTGAAATATTTTTGGCGACGTCTCCTGGAGGAGCCTAATGGTACAGTATTGTGTGCAGTTCGCAAGAATTCTAGGAATGGTACAGGCATTTTGTCCACAGGAATGGAATGTCCACAGGCATGTCTCTGACCCACATCTATACCCACATTCCTGGAAACTCTTGGGAAGACCTCTCTTCCCCGGATGGCCCTACTTTCTGTGACCCCGGGGCTCGTTCACTATACACTCAGGGCCCGACAGGGGAGGACTGTACCAAGTCTTCCTCAAAATCATGAAATGATGGCAGTACCATGCAAACAATAACCCTAACAGCAACCACCGTCGCCATAGCAATGTATGTTTTCATTGCCAGTCTTGTTGTAACTTTTCTGAAGTATCAGGTCCTTGTTGGCATTCGCTGCCATACATTACAATCTCCCATGACTTGCAAATTGTGATTTGCAGTACACTGTGTTTTTTCTCTAGCAAACAGACCCTTCCTGGCAGGCATGGCATTCACTATTGACCAGGGCTCGAAATTCATTTTTGAGAATAGGTGCACTGGTGCACCCAACCTAAAAAATTGGGTGCACAGAAAATATTCAGAGTGCACCACATAAGATAAAATGAGAATGTCAGCAAAAACTAATTACATGTATGTTTTATTTCTTAAGTAAGTGTAATATATATATATATATATAACAATGATTTCATTGATATTTTTCTAACACTTAGAATTTAGATGGTAAGAATATGCTGTATGCTACAATACATTTAACATCATACGTAAACCTACGAAAATATTTGTGTGACTGGTGGACCCGCGAAAAATAATTGGGTGCACAGCTCCAAATTTGGGTGCACTAAGGTGCACATGCACCCAGTATTTCAAACCCTGATATTGGTAAGAGAAAACCTGTTGTGGTTATCAATTAGGCCATGTTGTCTTGATTATAAGGATGACATCTGCGCGCGCATGAATTTTCGTCCGTTTCCAAAAAAAGTTTTCGACCATACTGTAAATCGTACAAAATGAGCGAATATACTAGTATGTCGTATGTTTCAAAAAAAGTGTTGGGAAAAGATACTAATGTCATAGACTGCCAAAGTTAATTCAGGAAAAGAAAAAAATGCAAAGAAATGAAAATGAAGAGTCTATTATTATTTTATTATTATTATTATTATTATTCCCCATACCATACTCTGTGTGTTTAGTCATTTGTTCAACCTTTAATTTATGACCACATGAATTTAAAAATGAAGGAAATTTTTTTGCCATTTTTTTGCGTCATATAATCAAATTAATATGGCCTGAGGCCAGAGCAAGTAATTTTATGGATGACATCAGCGCACGCATTTAAAAAACATGTCCTCTGACAGTGCTCGAAAATGGGCAAAGAGGTCTGTTGTCATGCAGGAACGTGGATGGCAGATAGATGTGAAGAGAGGGGACAATACAAGGCTCTGATTTATTGTTTTGTCTTTTATATTGATGCAGTGATGTATTTTATCACTTTTATATTTGTGGCTGTGTATATGTGATGTTCTCACTGAATCAAAACCATTTGTACAATGATTGTTTCGAATTTGACGTTCAACCATCTATCCTGACAGCAGGAGAAGACCATCCGCCTTGGTTTACGACAAGGAAGGTGAAGTGCAAGGATAAAAAACGACATCTAGTAGGTCAACGCAGGATTACACTACTCTCCAAGCAGAGGTTAGGGTTTGGGGTTATTTTTGGCGTGTTTTTAGCCTTTTTTATCGGGGTTTCTTTTTTTGCACTGGAATTTCTTTTCTTTGGGTGAAAGAAAAATTCCAGTGCAAAAAAGAACGATAAAAAAGCCTAAAACACGTTAAAAGTACCCCCAAAACCCAAACCTCTGCTTGGAGAAGAGGACTACACCACAATTTTGGCTAACTCAGTATGAATGGGCGACCCCCGGAGTCTGTGACGTGAGAATACAAAGTAGTGCGGAATAAATTCTTGCATCCTGGTTATCAAGTGTTATGTGAGAAGTAGCCAGGAGTAAATATCGCTGTGTGGTAAAGACATATATCAGATTTTAGACCGTAGGATTTGGATTGTGTCGTTTTTCCTGTTCGTGTATAAATGCGCCACATGACGCGACTGTGAGTGAGTCGGCTGCAGGTCATTTGACTTCCGTATTTTATATACAGTATCACGATATTGTGTGAGACAGTGTACTTGAGTGTGATTGAAAGAGCTCTTTTGTGGGGATGTGGGTGGCCTTGAAAAAGGCCGGGGTTATGTCGAGCAGCTAGCGGCGGTGGATTTACTTGGAGCTGGTGTACTTGGTGACGGCCTTGGTGCCCTCGCTGACGGCGTGCTTGGCCAGCTCGCCCGGCAGCAGGAGTCTGACGGCGGTCTGAATCTCGCGGCTGCTGATGGTAGAGCGCTTGTTGTAGTGAGCCAGGCGAGAAGCCTCGGCGGCAATGCGCTCGAAGATGTCGTTGACGAACGAGTTCATGATGCCCATGGCCTTGCTGGAGACGCCGGTGTCGGGGTGCACCTGCTTCAGCACTTTGTAGATGTAGACGCCAAACGTCTCCCTCCTCTTTCTCCTCCTTCCCTTCTTCTTGTCTCCGACCGGCCTGGCTTTGCCAGCTTTCTTGGCGGCTTTTCCACTTGGCGGCATGACGATACTCTTGGCAATATAGACAGCAAAGAATAACTGCAGCCGTACCGGCTTTGCCTTTTATATCGGGGAAGAATGCAAATTGTTGCATTGTCTAGTCCAAGGTGCGGACGTGGTAGAAATGAACTCGCGGTAATATTAAAGCTCGTCCTATTGGTTCGCTGTCGATCCAGCAGCGGGGTACAAATTGGTTGGGCAGACGATTGTGCCTTTCATTCTTTCTCTGCCGTTTGACGCTAATCAATCGAATATACTACAAGATGTCTGGACGTGGTAAAGGAGGCAAGGCACGCGCCAAGGCCAAGAGCCGCTCTTCCCGTGCGGGTCTCCAGTTCCCGGTTGGCCGAGTTCATCGCTTCTTGCGCAAGGGAAACTATGCCGAGCGCGTTGGTGCCGGCGCGCCGGTGTACCTGGCGGCGGTGTTGGAGTACCTGACGGCCGAGATCCTGGAGCTGGCTGGCAACGCTGCTCGCGACAACAAAAAGACCAGAATCATCCCCCGTCACCTTCAGCTGGCCGTCCGCAACGACGAGGAGTTGAACAAGCTGCTGTCCGGCGTCACCATTGCCCAGGGTGGAGTTCTCCCCAACATCCACGCCGTACTTCTGCCCAAGAAGACCAGCAAGGCTCAGTAAATTTCCAGACGAAATCCCTAAACCCCGGCCCTTTTCAGGGCCACCCACATCCTCTCGAAAGAACTGTACCATATCTACCCTGAATCAAGTTATTATCTTCACTCACACTACAAAAATAAGTACTTCTTACCGCCCCCCCACCACCACCTCCAACACACACACAAACACACTCACACCACACTTGATACAATTTAGTAGCAAGTTAGTAACAACACCCTTCCACATCCCACCTCGCGTTACACATGATATGAATGAGCGAGACCGGTCATCAATCACACAAGAAAAGACTGCAATATCGCTGACTTCTGTAGTTAGGTCTCGTGCCGTCCCATGCCTGCTGACATATCTGTACATTATATGTGTAGGCGGGGAGGATGAACACGTGTAGTCTAGAATATGTTGTGTTGTGTGACCAGTCGCTATGTCTGTGCTAGCATTTCCTTTGTCGGTTGTTTGGTTTGTAGGCACAGCATGAGATGGTGAGTGCAGAATTGACCGTGTATTTTGATTTACTAGAAGGAAAAGCGTCATTTTTCTTATAGAAACGTGAACGATATAGATCTTTCTGGGATAGGTGAGTGGCCCTGAAAAGGGCCGGGGTTGTAAATCTTGCTCGGATCCTCGTTACGCACGCTCGCCACGGATGCGACGGGCGAGCTGAATGTCCTTGGGCATGATGGTGACTCGCTTGGCGTGGATGGCGCACGAGGTTGGTGTCCTCGAAGACGACCGACCAGGTAGGCCTCGCTGGCTTCCTGCAGGGCCATGACCGCCGAGCTCTGGAAGCGCAGGTCGGTCTTGAAGTCTTGGGCGATCTCTCGCACCAGACGCTGGAAGGGCAGCTTGCGGATGAGCAGCTCCGTCGACTTCTGGTAGCGACGGATCTCTCTCAGGGCCACGGTGCCGGGCCTGTAGCGGTGAGGCTTCTTCACCCCGCCGGTAGCCGGGGCTCTCTTGCGGGCAGCCTTAGTTGCCAGCTGCTTTCTCGGCGCCTTGCCACCGGTAGACTTACGGGCGGTCTGCTTAGTACGGGCCATGTCGGTTGGATGAACTTCGTCTACGCTCAAGTGCAAGACAATAAGAGTAGTCGGCGGGCGATGGGGAGTGAATTTATAACGCACGCTAATTAGATGCCGAGACATTTCAATTGTCCGATACCCTGCCGCCTGATTGGTTCTCTGGTCCAAATCAGACCTTGCAATTGGTCAGTCTTCGCGACTCCAGGATCCGATATTTGCAGCAAGCTCGGCACTTTTGGAAGGGCACGCAGGAAAGTGTGAAATTTGGCGCTATAGAACGGTTATATTGGCTTGACAAGTGTACACGCGTGCCTATAGATAGTGAGACTATCATTTCTAGGTTTTAAAGTTGAACACATTAATAAACAATACCGCAAACAACTGAATAGCCTGCGTCAGCTAGGTCAAATTTGTCTCTTAACATTTAGGCCGTATGTTTGTTCGCTAATAAAATAACACTATCAACATGTGTTGTTTTGCGAGTGTGTGTGTGTGTGTGTGTGTGTGTGTGTGTGGGGGGGGGTAGGGCGTGTGACTTCGAAATTCCATTCTTCTCTTTAACTTTTGCCTTCTTTAATAGTTCTGTATCATTTCATTCGGGGAACAGCGTATATTTGTGTGGAAAAATGAATGGACAACTTGGAGGTGTCAGACATAGTTCTTTCGTAAGGATGTGGGTGGCCCTGAAAAGGGCCGGGGTTTGAAGGAAATCCGACAGCCAGGTCTTTACTTCTTCTTGGGCTTGGTCGCCTTCTTGGCGGGCGCCGCCTTCTTGACGGTCTTCTTTGCCGGAGTCTTCTTGGTCGGTTTCTTGGCAGCAGGTTTCTTGGCCGGAGATTTCTTGGTCTTCTTGGCGGCCGGCTTCTTGGTCTTCTTGGGGGTGGCAGCCTTCTTAGCCTTGGGCTTTTTCGGCTTGGTGGCCTTGGGCTTTGTGGCCTTTTTAGCCGCAGGTTTCTTGGCCGGCTTCTTGGCTGCTTTCTTGGCGGCCTTCTCTGCGGCTTTCTTGGCTGCCACGTTGATCTTGAAGGATCCCGACGCCCCAGTGCCTTTAACCTGAACGAGGGTGCCCTTCTCCACCAAGGCTTTCAGGGCGCGCTTGATGAAGTGCGCCTTCTTCTCCACGTCGAACTTGTAGTTGGCGGCGATGTACTTCTTGATGGCCGGCACGGAAGAACCAGTGCGGTCCTTGAGTTCTTCCACGGCCGCCGTAATCATGGCGGTGGTGGGCGGGTGAGCCGCGGGGGCCTTGGGCGCCGCCTTGGGCTTACTAGCCTTCTTGGGGGACGATGCTGCGGTGGACATGTTGGCTGGCTTTGTCTGCGTTACAATTGCAAATGAACCCGACATCTTGTCAAGGCGGCGTGAAGTAGCGATGGTGCGGACGTGGTCGGAAACACGGTAGCTTGTATGCGTCTTGTTGTCCGTCGCGGCGAAAATTTGTGTTTCTTTTCTGACTTCACGCTTGAATTTCTCCCTTTACAGTCATCAAAAATAACATTGGCTAAGTTGATGTACAAGAGGACATGTCAATCTTACTCGTCTGACGGAAACGACTGGCCAACGGCCCTTAGATCTTGAGATATCTGACGTCTTTACACCAAGCATACTCACGACTCTCGAAAAATTCGGTGAAGACGGCTCATCCAGTCTGCAAAGAAGCGATTGAACGTACGTATGAATCGAGTAACACCAGGGATTTCGACGCTATGACGACGATACTTTTACTCGCAGCTCATAAACCCCACTACTACGCTGCAGTTAACTATCGATATAAGAACACCCTATACCATGTAACTCCATATGCAACTCTGATAGAAAACACGCACACACTCACAGATGCATCAAGAACCACCCGCCTCGCCGAAACAGCACACCTCCCCTCAGACACCCAAAGTACACTATAAGGAAACCTGGCACGACGATAAGTTCGGCCAAAGATCAATTATTATATCACTGGGCAAAGAAACACTGTCGCTTTATTGTTGGAGGCAGGTGTAGATGTACGTGTGTGATGTGAGCGAATACAGTTCTTTTGGGGATATTTGGGTGGCCCTGAAAAGGGCCGGGGTTGCTTGTGATGATGCGTCCGTCAGATGATCCTTTAGCCACCGAAGCCGTACAGTGTGCGACCTTGGCGTTTGAGAGCGTAGACAACGTCCATGGCGGTGACCGTCTTGCGCTTGGCGTGCTCGGTGTATGTGACCGCATCGCGGATGACATTCTCGAGGAAGACCTTGAGAACGCCTCGGGTCTCCTCGTAGATTAGACCGGAGATTCGCTTGACTCCACCACGGCGGGCCAGACGACGGATAGCTGGCTTGGTGATGCCCTGGATGTTGTCTCGAAGCACCTTACGGTGACGCTTGGCGCCTCCCTTACCGAGACCCTTGCCACCTTTGCCGCGTCCAGACATGACAGGTACGATGCTCTTCTCGATCAGGAACAGAACAGAGAATGAATGAATAACTGGATAACGGAGCCACATTAGTAATTGCCCAGCGGACCTGCGCGGAGTCCTTGCCCCCACCACAGCTAGCCAATGGGAAGACGCCATCCGCAACCCGAGCAAGACAATGCCATGCGGAGGGTTTCTCCCCGGCGACAAGACAAACATCGCGTCACATCGCATGGCCAATGTCGAGAAGAACAAAGCAGGCAAAGTACACGACACACACGCATCACAGTGACACACACACGTACACAGACACGCACGCACGGGCACACACACAGATATATGTATATATAAACACAAACGCTGTTTACTACCATGTTCAGACAGCAAAAGAACGCCGATCAACGGCCAATGCATTGTTCTAAGGAACGTCACAGGAGACATTTGTTCCAGAAGGCCTTGTTCGACAAGAAAGAACGTGTACAGACTTTTATTACGTCAGAACAAACTTGATTTGTTTCTCATTTGTTGTTGTTATTTCTGTGTGGGTGGATTGTTTTGAAGCTGCAGCTGCAGGTTACTGGCTGGCGTGTACAGGTATATATTGTGTGAGACAGTGTACTTGAGTGTGATGGAGACAGCTCTTTTGTGGGGATGTGGGTGGCCTCGAAAAAGGCCGGGGTTCTGTGTATCATCGCTAGCGGCGGTGGATTTACTTGGAGCTGGTGTACTTACTAGTGACGGCCTTGGTGCCCTCGCTGACGGCGTGCTTGGCCAGCTCGCCCGGCAGCAGGAGTCTGACGGCGGTCTGAATCTCGCGGCTACTGATGGTGGAGCGCTTGTTGTAGTGAGCCAGACGGGAAGCCTCGGCGGCGATGCGCTCGAAGATGTCGTTGACAAATGAGTTCATGATGCCCATGGCCTTGCTGGAGACGCCGGTGTCGGGGTGCACCTGCTTCAGCACTTTGTAGATGTAGACGCCGAACGTCTCCCTTCTCTTTCTCCTCCTCCCTTTCTTCTTGTCCCCGACCGGTCTGGCTTTGCCAGCTTTCTTGGCGGCTTTTCCACTTGGCGGCATGACGGTACTCTTGGTGATTTAGACAGCAAAGAATAACTGCACCCGTACCGGCTTTGCCTTTATATCGGGGAAGTTTTTGACATTTTCTTGTTTGTATACACATGTAATTTTTAATGAGTGAGTACATACTGCAATTTAGTTCATCTCCGCAGGGCGGCGTTTAAAGTCAATTGCAAACAAGCGAAGCAAACTTTAATGCACAACAACTGTAACGGCATGAACGTAAAACGATGTCGTCATCAGTTTACGTTGTGGCTGGCTGGAGGAGCTAAGTAACCAACAAACCTACAGTACGTAGGTTTGCTGGTGACGACATCGTTTTACGTTCATGCCCAGCAAGCGACAACGTAAACTGATGACGACAACGTTTTCCGTTCATTCCCAGCCTGCCACAGCGTAAACAGATGACGACATTATTTTAGATAGCAGAACAAAGCTTATTTATAGCATTTCAGTTTGAGGCCATTGCATAAATATTGGTCTTGATGATTAGAACTGCTCAAGAACTTGCCACATAGTGTACCCGCTACAGTTGTTGTGCACATGGTGTCAAGGAAATGGGTGGGCAACACCAATGGTTTATGGGTATTTAGGCTTGTTACGAACAGGAATTGAACGGGAATCATGGTTGACAGCTTTGTTTTTCGTAATGCTCGAGGGTTTTAAATGATACCTGTATGTGGTCTGTGTACAAAGCAGTTTTCCCCCTTCCCTCTCCAAACAATTCCAGGTAAACGTGATCCTGTGAAACTGTTAGCATTTAATTTAATATTTTAATGTCTTGGGGTGGTGGGACTACGGCGCACATATCAACTTTGTATATTTAAATGTTAATTGTACCTTTTTTGTGTGTGGCGCTGTTAATATAAGTTGTTAACTTGAGTGCAGCGTCACACTGTCCTTGTTATGTCTGTATGTTTTGATGAATAAAAAAAAAAAAGAACACGACGACCGGTCACTAGGGGTCATTGTTAGTTCGCATGCTTTGAGATATGTGGTCTACAAGTGCTGTATCACCAGGATAACAACAGGGAAAATATTTTGATATCCGAAAAATGCCATACAACTGCCTGCACCAACTCACCTGCTTCACCTTTTGAGCGTATATGTCCGATAAATAGGAACGTCAGGACCATTATTAAGACTTGCATCAAATAGGGACGTCAGAAACAGTATTAAGTCGTGCAAAGAAGAAAAGAAGATTAGCAAAGGTCGGGTGTAACAGGTAGTTCAGTGTAATCTAACCAGAAACTGCTGCACAGCATGCCTGTGAACGAAGCTGGTGTGTCTACACTGCTATAAGGGAGGCTCTACTGGCTATACAGCTAGCTGCAGATACAGATCAACAGTACGGAATTACAAAAGACCACTGTAATATGAAGACGTGATTCCTTGTCAGTTCTGGAGGCCATGGTAGCCCTTGAGTCGATGATCTGCTGATTACTTTATCACCGGGATGACGACAGGAACAATAAACTTGAGTGACTACCGTACCCGACAAAATAATTCCGGTCTGGAATGCCTTCTCCCACTGCTTGAGAGCCTTCCTTATGCCATCTATCGAGGCTGTTCCTCGGGTAGGGTCTGCAGAGCTCTCAGGGTCTATCTCAGGGCGGGCTGCGATAGCATTTCCCAGGCGGTATGTTGGCCATGGAGCCGATTGGTGGCTTGTACAGGCCCTGGAAATATTCTGGCATCAGTGCTACATTTTGGTTGCAGTTTTCCATCTAAATTCTCAAGAAGTACAGTCATATCCCCATTCCATTTGACGGCGCTTTCGCCGTGATCTCTCTCTGACCTGAAATTGGCCAGAGCGCGGAGAGAGCGCTCAAAAAACGTGCTCAAGTGGAATTTCCCCGTCGACCTCTCTGCGCTCTCTGTGCGACCAAAAACTCAAATGTCACCTTTCATGGGCGTACAAAGATTTCGCAGATCACTCAACGTGTTAAGGAAATAAAGAACGGATTTCGTTACGTTCTGTGCGTTTTCTTGTTTTTGAAGTCATTTTTGTACACCCTGCATCGCGTTCAAAATTATAAAACGGAGGATGTAATATCCCCATTCCACTGGGACGGCGCTCTCACCGCGCTCTCTCTGCGACCTGAAATTGGTCCGAGCGCGGGGAGATCGCCGAGAGATCGCCGAGGTTGCCATGTTATGTTTGTTGGGGCTGTTGTTCGCTCTCATGGCGCTCTCTCCGCGCTCGTGGCTGGATCGCCGTCCTTGGAGTTCTCACGGCGACGGTATGAACCTGTTCAAAACAGTCGCCGAGGCGCTCAAGGCGCTCTCATGACACCACATTGTTGTGCAAAGAACCTTGAACGGGAATCATGGTTGTCAGCTTTGTTTTTCGTAATGCTCGATGGTTTTGAATGGTCTCTGTATGTGGTCTCTGCACAAAGCAGTTTTCCCCCTTCCCTCTCCAAACAATTCCAGGTAAACGTGATCCTGTGAAATTGACTTACGAAAGACACGACGACCGGTCACTGTGGGTCATTGTTAGTTCTGTGGGCTTTGGCATGAGATACGTGGTCTACAAGTGCTGTATCACCAGGATAACATCAGGGAAAATCATTTTGTTATCCGAAAAAAGGCCTTCCAACTGCCTAGACCCACTCTCATGTTTCACCTTTTGAGCGTATGAGAATACGTATATGTATACGAATATGTCCGATAAATAGTACCGTCAGAACCAGTAATAAGACTTGCATTAAATATGGATGTCGGAACCAGTATTAAGACTTGAACTATTATAAAACAGTCACGTCAGAACGAGTATTAAGAAGTGCAGTTAAGACGTGAAGCTGCTAACAGCGTATTTAGTATTTTCTCGACAGGTTTTTCCTTTCTGGTCCTCTACTCTGGTCTCGTGAGGTCGTGTGCCATCTTGGTTTACGACCTGTTGTCAGTAAATGTTCTGGCGTTTTGACAATGCTGCGTTTGAGTTAAAATCTTTAATGTGTTAATAAAGAGCTGTACGTGACCTTCATGCTGTCTTGTAGCCACTAAGAGATCTGCTTGGAGATTCTTCTCCTCGCCTAGTTCAGTCTTGTTTGGGGCATAAGAACGGCTTGCCATTCCTTTTATGTGGACTTTAAGGGACACAATATATTCGATAAAATCTGTCATTACACCATGCATGGTGTGCTTGAGAAGTGATTTCCACAGTTAGTTTGTTAGTCAATCGTAGTTTAGAGCGCTGCTGGCCGTTTGAAGTTGCGGCTAGTTCACAATTGGCCCCGCCATACCTTAAACTTCGCAATGACGTAATCGCGAAGTTCATATTACTACTTGAACAGCAACACCATCACATAGTTCCCTTCTCTATCTGCACTGCACCTGTACTAAACTTTGGCTAGCATTTGTAACCACCACTCCTTGTTACTTTTCTTTGGGGTAAAACATATTTGACATAGTAGTATGTTAGTCGCGTATGTTTCTTGTGTGTGAGGGAAAGGGGAGGGGATTCTAAATCGTTATCAGGTACTTGGTTTACGGTCATCCTTGACTATCCTCACATAAAAGAGCGGATGTCAGTAAAAAAAAGGGTAAAATCTACTTAAGGTGCGTCTTCCGTTGGTTCCTAGAAAAAAGATTGTTTTGGTAAATCAACTGCCGTGGTAATGATCCTTTTGTGTTTGTGTTGACTTTTTTAAAAGACGTGCAGGATGTTTACTGTAAAGGTAAAATGACGATGCGTTTTCACGGTATACATGCACTGCGGCACTACACCTCGAAAGCCTGCCGCGTCTTATCTTAGGTCAAAATGTCCTTGCTAACATTAGTGTATCTACAATAGATATCAGTTCTTACCTACAATATATCTGAACACTTAGATGATTTTTGACGAGCCTTAATCAGAGAGAAAACTGGAGTACTATGTTCCAAAGGGGAATCAAAGATCGCACTATGACAAACTCAACAAGCCCAGTGATGTCATCCAAGAAAGGAACTTCCCGTGACCTGACTTATGCCATTCTCAAGCCTTTTGAGTCACATCCGTCCGACTGTTGTCAACATTAACACGAGCATGACCATCAGTGGAAAAGGCAGTTACTGCAAGTCATTGCACTTCCCAGAAAATGTGACATCTGCTCAGGCATGAAGGTGGGAGAAAGGTTTATAAAGGACCGCCTCGTGGCAGGGGACAGACAGGTGTCACAGACGAGACACCTTCACTGCAGCGAATTCGTCCTCTCGGCTCCGCATCGTGTCCCTCGACCCGTGCCTCGTGTCCCGTCGTCTGGAAGTCGTCTCCAGTCGGCCCGGCATCGTCTCCCGTCGGCTGGTCTCACGCAGACGTCATGTTAACAAGGTAAGCCGTACGTTATCTGTAATGTCCTCCCGCTATCACCGCTAGAAAATAATGCACTTGGGTTGTAATGTCTGCCTTGGCAAGCTCCCCCGGGAAAATCTAAACCCTCTGAAAACTTATCTCCTGAATTTTGAGGGGCAATTTTTTCGCCCATGTATTTTCCGGTAATTTTGTCCGATAACTTCACTGAATGTGATCATAATTCGCCGATGCAAGCCCTCAAAACGGCCGCCTCGTCGCCGACGTTATTTTCATTTCCGACGGAATATCGCGAATTCGACGCTAATGGCGAGATTTGTCTGTCATTGGTTGATTTTTCGTGACCCGCCGTGTTCTTTAGCCGGTGATTGGTGGAACACTGATGTTGTTAATCATTTTTCGGGGGACAAAAGTACTGCGTGTATGTGGGCTTGAAACTGAATTTTTTTACAAAATGTCAAGAGAAATACAGTGGCATTTCGGAATTTCTTTGGCTTCTTCGGTAACAATAATTGACGTTAAACCGGTCAAAAGTCGAAAACTTCGGCAGGTTCAATACGTGACCGGCCAAAACTGGAGTGGGGAGGGGGATGCATAACGCAGCCGGCAACCACGGCGCCTCTGTTTACGGGCCAGCTGGGGTCGACGTTGCCGGGCCCCGGGAGGCATTAGAGATGGTCTAAATCGGCTTCGCCGAAAATTTGTACCAGTTTTCTGGAGATTTTAGGAAAAAATTGAAGCTCTGCTCATGTCTTTAACAGTTTACGCGCATGGATTTTTGTCCGACAAATATGACAGATTGGGCAAAGTTTTTGGCCATCATGAGCGGCAAAAGTCTGTCAAATGACGGGGAAACGGGCGCTAGCTGGAATCCTGGTCCATACTTAGTAGAGATACCGTTCAAAATCGTTTGTCACTCGCTTGTTTGTGGCATGAATGTTCGGATAACATCATCCCGTCGGCACAAAGAAGTCTGTGTTTAGGTGAAAGACGTCTAAGTTGAAGTTGATTACGTGAAGGTTCCTGTAAGAATTGGAGCTATGGATAGGTTGGCATGAAGGTGTCTATTCTGCGGCGCTTAAAACAGCAAAGGTGTAACACAGGTGCGAAACACTGTTTCAGACCAGCTGAACTATGATGGTACTCTCTTTTCGTGTTAACATTTTTCATTCGCTGTTAGAAGTGACGCAGGATTTTTAGTTAATAGCATTTGAGTTTTGAGAAACTTGTCCATGGCTTGTTCTCTGTACATCATGCAAGACGATCCCTTGAGACGTTTCGTCTCGGGGTAAGTTCTTCACATACCCATACGCCCTTAGCTAGTTCCTTGATTCGGCTCTCCTGCGCAGCTTTTTCAGAGACCGCCGAGCCTAATCAACACGGCGCCTGTCCGCGTCGCTATCCGAGGCGTTTGGCGGTACGCGGTGACGAGAGGGCCACGCCGCATTTCCCGGGGCCGTAAGGACCAACATGCCCCCTCACCGACAACCTGCAGACGGTGCAGGCTTTCGGTTTAGTCATCGCGAAACCGAGAACGTAGATAAAGAAAGCAAAAAGAAAGCGCCCTCGCCTAGCTCTTGCCTGAGTCCTGGCCGATCGCGAGTGTCATAGCTGAAAACGAGACCACATGTGGTAGCAGAACACAGTATTAATGGGCGACCCCCGGGGGTCTGTGACGCGGGTATAGAATGTAGTACAGCGAATATTCTTGAAGGCAGGGTAGAAAGCCTGATAAGAGCGTCAGCCAGATGTAAATTGTGCTGTGTGGTGTAGGAATGTATCGGGTTTGAGACTGTGTGATTTTAATTGTGAAGGTTTTGCAGTTCGTGTATAAATGCGCCGTATTGCGCAACTGGCTTTCCGGGTGAGTCGGCTGCAGTTCAGGTCACGTCCGTAGAGGTCGATTTCAAAGTGTACGTTAAGAGCAGATACGCCGACAGGATTTTTTGGTTTCTAGATATTTTGTAGTTTGTACCTTCTTCTGAAACATATTCGATTTTCGTATTTGTGAAGTGCACCCTGCTATAATTCTTACCGCGTCGAAGTGAGTCATCTTGGGGTCCTTGACTATAGAAATCCCCATAGGGCGAAAACTGTGTTCTGCTACCATGTGGCCGGGTCGTGGGCGGAAGTGAGAGGGGGCTGACCGGAAGACAGAGATGCCGTGCTCATACGGCGGGCAGTTTGTTTTAAAAATTAACAAAAATGACGTGTGCGACATTTATGCAAGACGGTTGTAAAGCTACGTCGTTCTTTCGCACAGTCCATATAAACATGATACTTTTTGTGCGGTTACGCAGTTGACGACTCAGGGACAAATCTGCTGGACTTGCCCGTTGCACTTTCAAACACAGTTTGTGTAGTACACAGTTCTGTTGTCATGACGCCACGGTATGCGCTCTTGGCACGGTTAGAACAAAAACATGATCACTTCATTCCGATGCTCCGTGCGGACACGCTCTGTCACGTCACAGGTGAAATCTGCTCACCTGCGTGTGTAAACCTTGGCAGCTCTCCAAGCAGATGTGGGTGTCTCTGGCTTGTTTAATCCCGTCACGTACCGCCTTGTCATATGACTAGACGCTAAAAGCCTCACAAGTAATTGTATTTTTTCAGCTTGTACTGTATAGACTCTCATGTAAAGTAGATTAGCCCCTTAGTATGATTTTAAGGTAAAAGTTATAGTAAAGCTGTGGGCCATCGCGGGTAGATCCTACGGGCTCTCGTTCTTCTTTCGTACCAAGAAAGAGTGAAACGAGCTTGAGCCTGGTGTGGCGGAGGCGAGGTCTCTCACCCAGTTCAAAGTTAAACTGTCGAGGGCCCTGCTGCATCGAGTCGCCCCTATATGTTCTTGTATATATGAATATTATTTAAAAGTAAATTTTACTCCGTGGCAGTCCTGTATTCTCATCAGTTGTCAACTCCAATATATTATCACTTACCCAAAACTTTATCACCACATCAGAACGTTTTTAAAAGATTTTAATTTCCCCCTGTGTTATCTAAGTATTGTGTCCTCTCTTTGCCATCATTTATCATTGGGTGGGGAACGGGACTTGCGCTTTTGAATTTCCTGTATTTACTGTTTTGCCTGTCTTAAAGTTGCGTTTGTTTTTTTTCTTTATTATATGTATTTATTTAGTGGTGCCGTAAACATGAGTGGTTTCCACTTGAGTGTGGCACCACCATGTCCTGTACCTTTTTCTATGTGAACGAATAAAAAAAGTCTAAATTCGCTTGTATATCTCACGCACAGTTACGTATGTTACGTAGTGCCCTTACCTTTATTTCCCTTTGTTTCTTTGTACCGGTCACTTGTTTTGTAACATGTATGCGCAACTCCTGGTAACCCGATTGTTATAGGGCTTAGCAGTACAAAAAGAAGTAGAATATATCAGCGGTTACGAGTACCATACATTGTGCCTTGTACAATTGGTGTACAAATAAGATTATTATTATTATCACCATTACCCTGCCATAGAGAACCATCCAGCCGTGCCACGTCTTTCGAGAGCTTTCCACACAGCATTGATACTGCCCTGTCAATTTGATACTGTCTTGCCAATTTTACATTGTCTTGTCAATTTTACACTGTCTTGTCAATTTACTGTCTTGCAAATTTAATACTGTCTTGTCAATTTGATATGGTCTTGCAAATTTGATATTGTCTTCAAGTTGTCAATTTCATACTGTCTTGTCAATTTGATACTGTCTTGTCAATTTGATACTGTCTTGTCAATTTGATACTGTCTTGTCAATTAGATACTGTCTTGTCAACTAGATACTGTCCTGCCAATTTAATACTGCCTTATCAATTTGATACTGTCTTGGCAATTTGATACTGCATTGGCAATTTCATACTGTCTTGTCAATTTCATACTGTCTTGTCAATTTCATACTGTCTTGTCAATTTGATCCTGTCTTGTCAATTTGATCCTGTCTTGTCAATTTGATCCTGTCTTGTCAATTTGATCCTGTCTTGTCAATTTCATACTGTCTTGTCAATTTAATACTGTCTTGTCAATTTCATACTGTCTTGTCAATTTGATACTGTCTTGTCAATTTGATCCTGTCTTGTCAATTTCATACTGTGTTGTCAATTTAATACTGTCTTGTCAATTTGATCCTGTCTTGTCAATTTCATACTGTCTTGTCAATTTAATACTGCCTTATCAATTTGATACTGTCTTGGCAATTTGATACTGTATTGGCAATATTACTGTCTTGTCAATTTGATACTGTCTTGTCAATTTGATACTGTCTTGTCAATTTGATACTGTCTTGTCAATTTGATACTGTCTTGTCAATTTGATCCTGTCTTGTCAATTTCATACTGTCTTGTCAATTTGATCCTGTCTTGTCAATTTGATCCTGTCTTGTCAATTTGATACTGTCTTGTCAATTTGATACTGTATTGGCAATATTACTGTCTTGTCAATTTCATACTGTCTTGTCAATTTGATCCTGTCTTGTCAATTTCATACTGTGTTGTCAATTTCATACTGTCTTGTCAATTTCACACTGTCTTGTCAATTTCATACTGTCTTGTCAATTTGATCCTGTCTTGTCAATTTGATCCTGTCTTGTCAATTTGATACTGTCTTGTCAATTTCATACTGTCTTGTCAATTTCATACTGTCTTGTCAATTTCATACTGTCTTGTCAATTTAATACTGTCTTGTCAATTTCATACTGTCTTGGGTTACCAGCAGTTGCGCATTCATGTTGAAAAACAAGTGACCGGTACAAAGAAACAAAGGGAAATAAAGGTAAGGGCAGTACGTAACATAGGTAACTGTGAGTGTGATATACAAACAAATTTAGACTTTTAAATAATATTCATATATACAAGAACATATAGGGGCGACTCGATGCAGCAGGGCCCTCGCCACACCAGGCTCAAGCTCGTTTCACTCTTTCTTGGCACGAAAGAAGAACGAGAGCCCGTAGGATCTACCCGCGATGGCCCACAGCTTTACTATAACTTTTACCATAAAATCATACGAAGGGTCTAATCTACTTTACAAGAGAGTCTATACAGTACAAGCTGACAAAAAATACAATTACTTGTGAGGCTTTTAGCGTCTAGTCATATGACAAGGCGGTACGTGACGGGATTAAACAAGCTAGAGACACCCACATCTGTTTGAAGAGCTGCCAAGGTTTACAGGTGAGCAGATTTCACCTGTGACGTGACAGAGCGTGTCCACACGGAGCATCGGAATGAAGTGACCATGTTGTTGTTCTAACCGTGCCAAGAGCGCATACCGTGACGTCATGACAACAGAACTGTGTACTACACAAACTGTGTTTGAAAGTGCAACGGGCAAGTCCAGCAGATTTGTCCCTGAATCGTCAACTGCGTAACCGCACAAAAAGTATCATGTTTTTATGGACTGTGCGAAAGAACTATTTATTCAAACTGTACATCTGAATCTCAAACAACGTAGCTTCACAGCCGTCTTGCATAAATGTCGTACACGACATCTCTGTCTTCCGGTCAGCCCCCAATCTCACTTCCGGCCACATGTGGTCTCGCTTTCCAGCTATAACACTCGCGATCGGCCAGGAGCTAGGCGAGGGCGCTTTCTTTTTGCTTTCTTTATCTACGTTCTCGGTAGATCAGGGTAGGTTTTTATATAACAATCTATATTGAAAATTTCTTAAATTAGGGTCGATAGTAAACTTTTAAATATTTACAAATACTGTTTTCCAAGGTATATATGTGTCGAAGTAATAAAACCATGATAGTCTAATAATTTTTTGCGCTACATTAGTTTGGTTCAGAGTCATGAGAAAGAAATTATAGATAGCCTTGTTAATTTTAACTTTTTTTAACCAATCATAATCCCTTATCGATGGTACACACACTAAATTTCTTGATGACTCTCTAGTTAACAAATTTTTTCCACTTCAATGGAATTGACGTAGTTATCTGTTGATATCGCAATGGAAGCTGAAGTGGCAAACGTGTATACAATACATACAGAATGTATTATTAGTATTTTAATATTGTTTAAAAACAATATGTTACTACCATGACCAACTACTTGACAAATCCCTACCAATCTCTGTAGAGATTTAATGCTAGGGCAAATCAGACATAAGTCATCAGCATAAAACAGGTGGTTGGTAATGGACCCACCTACATAGCAGCCCACCTTGGCATTGTTTAAGCTTACACTCAAATCGTCTATATAGACATTGAAAAGATATGGGGACAGTAAACTACCCTGTCGCACTCCGTTAGTAACAGAGAAGCTGGGGGAAAGGACTTCACCCCATCTTACAAACATTCTTTGATTCGTATACCAGGAAACCAAGAATCGAACTAGATATAGCGGAACATTTCTGTCGATTAACTTTCTAAAGCAGTGTCCAGTGGTTTACACGATCAAAAGCCTTATAGAGGCATCCATAAAGCACACAAAGACATGGGACCCTAACCCCCTGTAGTACTCGATAATTTGCTTTAACATAAAAACACATGTCAGTCCCATATTTAGGTTTAAAGCCAAATTGAGAATCAGACGTTAGAAGAAAAAGCTTCAGACGATTAAGCAGGAGTGCCTCTAGGACTTTAGATCATGCCGAAGTGATCGCAATTGGTCTATAATTGTCAGTACAAGAGATGTTACCAGATTTGTTTTTTTACAACGGGAACAATGATAGTGTCCAAAAGGCTACTGGGAAGAAAATTATGGACAATGGTACCTGTAAACAGCAGTAGCATATTTCAGGTGCTCATTCCTTATACCATGTGACCCACACGCCTTACCATTGGGTTAATCCCTAATGGTATTGGCGAGCTCCGGTGCGGAAATTTGCATCTCGTGATCAAAACATACAGGTGACCGAGCGGAAATCACTTCCGACTTGTGAATTTGTTCATCTTCAGAATTTAACAGAGACTAAAATGTTCTTTCCAGCGGTTAGCCAAAGTACCATCTACAGTGTTGGGCAGAACCATATGAGAGGAATTAGAATTTCTCACTTTTCTCCAAACCTCCCTATAGTTTCCAGAATTAAAACTGTTAACAGTGGAGTCTGCTCGAGCCCTATCCTCATTACGTTTACACTGTCTATTAAGTAAGTGCATGCTTGAGTCTTGCTCTAGATTTCGACATGAGTAGGAATATTGGGCCAAACCGAGGACGACCCATTTCCGCCAGATACAACAGTGACGAAGATGTCCTCTGTTTCAGGTTGATCCCGATGTTCTTCGCCGCGGTTGCCATGGCGCCGCTGGTTGTCATGGTTACCGGCCAGAGCCCTACAGAACAAGAACTGCAGCAGGCGGTCGCTCAGGCAAAAGCAGAAATGGAGGCTGAAGCAGCCGCCCATGTAGTTTCCGGAGGTGAGCATATGAAACAGACATGAACACGTTACATATCATGGGGGTGGGAACATGAAAATGGAATTGTCAGAACAAAGGGAAGTACTTTTTACAAGGAAGCTGATGAAAAGTGTTGATTCTGCGAAAAGGACAAAAGCAAAATACTCACTACTTAGTGAGTATTTTGCCTGTAATTATTTGGCCTTCAAATGTGTCTGGTGGAGACTAGGCTGGAACCTCCATTATTCAAACCCGCTTTGTCTTGCCTCGTCTGACGGTCAGACACAATACCACATCATCAGTAGCAAAGTAGTGTTCTCAGACTACATCTGTGACAGCTTACCCCGTGTGCCTTTCAGGTGCTGAACCAGACGAAGGCCCGTTCTCCGGAGCTCTGAACGCGCTGGCCAGGGAACATCGCTCCACCCCGATGGCAAAGGAGCTCAGCAGGCGTGCCACCGTCTTGGAGAAGGTGGCAAAACACTTCATGAGCAGGTGAGATCTTCCGTCTCTTGTCAATAGATGTAAATCCCAAAAATGAGCACATGGTCCGTATCAGGGGAGTTGTAAGTCAGCGATCTAGCCAGTTAAATGAGACTTGATTTTGACGTCCCTGACGTCACTGGTATGCACACTTTAACGATTTTATCACATGCCACAATACACAAGAGGCAAACAAAACCATTACCACAACTACATAGACCGGATCAGACACAGTATACGTGTGTATTACATACTCATTGTCATAGCAATTATGTTGCTTGTGACCTGAGCCACCGACAGTGCCCCGCATCTCCCAGCATACATTGGTTTCCGTAAAAAGGTGGGGGGGGGGGTACCGAAACGCCTGGAAATACATGTAAGCTCCGCTTTTTTTCCCATTTGCGGTGACTCGTCTTGACAGAAATCTGATTTTAGCTCCAGGCGTAGAACTTCAAGCTACACAATAGCCATGCTGTCCGCCATCGACTCCCCGAGCGTGACAAGTGTTTGTGACGACACCTCCATGGAGCCGATCACGTGCCCTACACCAGCCGTCCCAGAGTTCCGTTCGGCAAACGGCCGTTGTAACAACCGGGACCACCCCCTGTGGGGAAGTAGCGAGGAGCCCTTCAGAAGGCTGCTGGAGCCAGAATACGGTGACGGTATGTATGTAGATGTTAGCTCGGTTAAATCACGCTTCTAGCAGCCCTTCCACTGGTCAGGCCCCTAGCCTGACTACATCACGCTTCTACCTGCCCTTTCACTGGTCAGGCCCCTAGCCTGACTACATCATGCTTCTACCTGCCCTTCCACTGGTCAGGTCCCTAGCCTGACTACATCATGCTTCTACCTGCCCTTCCACTGGTCAGGCCCCTAGCCTGACTACATCATGCTTCTACCTGCCCTTCCATTGGTCAGGCCCCAAGTCTGACTATACATCACGCTTCTACCTGCCCTTCCATTGGTCAGGCCCCTAGCCTGACTACATCATGCTTCTAGCAGCCCTTCCACTGGTTAGGCCCCTAGCCTGACTACATCATGCTTCTAGCAGCCCTTCCACTGGTCAGGCCCCTAGCCTGACTACATCATGCTTCTACCTGCCCTTCCACTGGTCAGGCCCCTATTTTATTAAACCTGACTACATCACGCTTCTACCTGCCCTTCCATTGGTCAGGCCCCTAGCCTGACTACATCATGCTTCTAGCAGCCCTTCCACTGGTTAGGCCCCTAGCCTGACTACATCATGCTTCTAGCAGCCCTTCCACTGGTCAGGCCCCTAGCCTGACTACATCATGCTTCTACCTGCCCTTCCACTGGTCAGGCCCCTAGCCTGACTACATCATACTTCTAGCAGCCCTTCCACTGGTCAGGCCCCTAGCCTGACTACATCATGCTTCTACCTACCCTTCCATTGTTCAGGCCCCTAGCCTGACTACATCACGCTTCTACCTGCCCTCCCATTGGTCAGGCCCCTAGCCTGACTACATCACGCTTCTAGCAGCTTTTCCACTGGTCAGGTCCCTAGCATGACTACATCACGCTTCTACCTGCCCTCCCATTGGTCAGGCCCCTAGCCTGACTACATCACGCTTCTACCTGCCCTCCCATTGGTCAGGCCCCTAGCTTGACTACATCACGCTTCTAGCAGCTTTTCCACTGGTCAGGTTCCTAGCCTGACTACATTACGCCTCTAACAGCCCTTCCATTGGTCAGACCCTTAGCCTGACTACATCGCGCGATTAGCAGATCGTTTGAGAAAAG